CCACCTCCTGGGCAGCATTGGGGTCCTGCTGGGTCGCCGCCTCCCGGACAGCCTTCGGAGAGCTCTGGGTCGCCACCTCTCGGGCAGCGTCGGGGGATCTCTGGGTCGCCGCCTCCTGAACAGACTTCGGAGAGCTCTGGCTCGCCACCTGCGGAGCTGCGTCGTCGGACCGCTGGGTCGCCGCCTCCCGGACAGACTTTGGAGAGCTCTGGGTCCCCGCCTCCGGGACAGCGTCGGGGGACCGCTGCGTCCCTACATCCTGGGCAGGGGCCTTCTCTGAGCCTGGAAGAACAGTGTGGAGACCTTACCTGTGTCCCCTACTTTCTCCACAAGAAGATTTATCCAAATGGGCTGGGGGATTAGGGTCTGGAACCTGAGAGTGCAGGATTAATTTGACCTTCTATATTCCTTGCAAGAAGGAAACCCTCTCCTGGACTGAGAGGATGAGACCGCTGCCCGGTGATCTCCGGGAAGCATCAAGATCTCTACCAAGGAACCCATGGCCTACCTAGGGTACCCCTCACTATTCCCGGTTTCATACTTTGTGCCCGGAGTTGGCGATGATAGTCAGCCAAATTCATGATCATCTTGGATACATCTTTCTGGTAATAGGGCCGACCAAATATCAAGATCTCAGCCTCGCCCTCGGGGTCCCAATGATTAACGTGAAGCAGGGTCTGTGACACACACTCGACGTGTGGTATGTGCTCTCCTCCCCGACCTGTGCAGGAAGCAAAGAGGCTGTGAGGGGCGGGATTTGGGAGGGGAAGGCGGCGGGAGAAGGTAGCGCTGGTTTGGGGCTAGGACCACTGGAGAGGCTGGCCCTGGAACGCGGCCAGCCTGGGGGGCGGGGTGGATAGGAGTGTCGGGGGTGGAAAGACCGCATTGGCCACCGCTCTCAGACCCACTCACCGAAAATCGCCTCCACCAGCCACGCCTCGAGGTGAACAGCCTTCGGACTCTTCAGATACTCGGAGTGGAACCAATAGGGTCGCTTGGTGAGGTTACCGAGCACCTCGAATAGCGTCCCTTCTCTCTGTTCCAGCTGTACGAGCGTCGGAAACCGCTTAGGAGTGGCCATGCTGCAGTAGGCCTTGCTGCTAGCGGCCGTGAAGCTGCAAACCAAGAAGGCCAAGGTTAGTATCAGTTGCGGCAGTTGTGGCTTGGCCAGGGCCTTATTTCAAGGGCTTTTGGTAAGCCCCTCCCCATCCGCCTCCCAAACTCCGCAGCCTGGGCTTCTTCCCGAGATTGCAGGAGTGCACTGGGTAGAGCACCTGGGCGCTGTAGGAGGGGCCACTGGTCTGGACCCGCCCAATTCCCCAGGCCCTGGGAGCCAGAGGTGGAGCTTCTTCTGGGAAGCAGGTCTCGGGGAGATGAGGACGGCCCGGGGAGATGAGGACGGCCCGGTAGAGGCATGGGAAGATCCAACATCTGGACAATACCTTTCAGAGAAGCGAACTGATATTTGCGCAGCCACAGGTGCTTTTCAGACGGTTCAAATGGGACCAGCATTCCTGAGGGGTTGGAATGACTTTTTCATGGAAAACCTAATGAAATGCATTAAAGAAGTAAAAATTCAAGGATTAAAAAAGGTGTTCAAGGGCTAAAGTAAGTCCCACTTTATCTTGAACCCTGAATACTGAGTTCCCTCCTCAGAGACCGTCACATTTCCAGCTTCTTCCTTGACTTGTCAGAGACAGCTGAGCACATCCAGAGCAAATTCTCTAAGTAACATGTTATTTCTATGTCTTGGTTTTGTTTGTTTGTTTTGTTTTGTCCAGTTTAAAGCATTACCCATGAACTGCTACTCAGGAAGATAAAGTTATATAACTTTAGTAGTTGGGGTGTCATGCCCAGGCCCAGAGGTGAGAGATCCTCTGAACTCAGGTTCAAACTTGTATCCTCTGTGGGAGTTCTGTAGGCCAAAGAAGTGCATGAGAAATTTGTAGGTGTCTGACAGGATCAAAAGTCTTGAGACCTAAGCAGAATGTGAATTAAGAGCCAAAGAAGGGCAAAATCTATTCAAAGAATCACAGAATGGATTGGCAGAACGATTGGGTAGACAGAACAATTGAGTCTATAACTGACACCCAAGGATCTGGGCTCCATAACTATCCCCTCTGGAGGTTACGGACTCACTAACATAGCAACTATAAATTGAATTTTAATGTCCCATCAGTACTGCCAAAAAGAATCCAATCTGAGAAGTATTTCCATGAAAATCTCTAGTCTGAAATCTCTTTCTTACAGCAAATGATATACGATAATATATTGTTTCTTAGTAGGTGTAAGAGGATACTTAGAGTTCTACGCATGTTATTGTCATTATGTACGGGTAGAGATCTTTTACTTCATTGAAGTTTTAGAATTAGGAATGGAAATATTTAAGAGAATTAAAATTAGAGTATTAATATTTAAAAGTGATCTGTCATTTATATGAAATCCTAGAATACGTGGACTAATCTATAGAAAGCATGGAGTATTCTCATGGATAGAAAGCATGGATTGAAAGCATGGAGTACTTGCCCAGGGAGGGGAATGCAGGGAGGAAAGGATTGGAAGGAGGCATTTGGAAACTCTCGGGGATGATGGAAATGTGCATTATCTTGATTACAGTGATGGCTTCACTGGATATGGTTTATATGTCAAAACTGGTTAATTGTACACATTTTAATATAAGCAGTTTATTGTGCTTTATTCTTCAAAGTGGTTTAAAAAGAAAGGAATCCTATACATGGTATTTTATATTGCTGTAATATTTTAGATAATTTATTATATTAGAAAAACAGTTTTGTAACTCCAATTTAAAATATATAAATAAAAAAGTAAAAAATAAAATATATAGTTAAGTCTTGGATTTAGATATATGACTTTAAGATGAAATCTTAGTTTATATTCAGTGTTGGATCACTGAGAAGAACTTCAGTTTCAATCTATTCATACGTTTTATTTATTTTATTTACAAGAATTATTTAGTAATTGAGAAGTTCTTGTTATTTGAGGCTATTAAAGTACTTTGCAAAGCTCTTTGCCATGTATGAGAATGGGTTTTGTTTTTGTTTTTGTTTTTGTTTTGTTTTGTTTCTGAGATTGTTTAGTTAATCAAATTTGTCAAGGAGACCTTATGTCATTCATAGCCCATTAAACATAACTTTTAAAACTTTCTAGACTTATGAATAGGATAGTGAGTTTTGAAAGAAAAACTTGAAAGCTTAAGGAAGGACTAAAGTTTTGATTTTTACAATTTGAAAATATATTTCTTTTTTTTAAATTTTTTTTAAATGTTTTTATTTATTTTTGAGACAGAGAGAGACAGAGCATGAATGGGGGAGGGTCAGAGAGAGAGGGAGACACAGAATCTGAAACAGGCTCCAGGCTCTGAGCTGTCAGCACAGAGCCCGACGCGGGGCACGAACTCATGGACCGCGAGATCATGACCTGAGCTGAAGTCGGACGTCTAACCAACTGAGCCATCCAGGTGCCCCGAAAATATATTTCTTTTAATGTTTATTCATTTTGAAAGAGAGAGTGCACGTGTGAGCAGGGGAGAGAGAGAATCCCAAGCAGTCTCCTGCACTGTCAGCACAGAGCCCACTCAGGGTAGATCTAACAAATTGTGAGGCTATGACCTGAGCAGAAACAAAGAGTCAGCCGCCCAACCAACCGAGTTACCCAGGCGCCCCTGGTTTTTACAGTTTTAGGAAATATTAATTTTCAAAGAAATCTCTAAACACTCTTTTATATGCACATAAATCACCCCCAAGGTTCCAAAAAAGAAAAAATACACCGTCTTTCACCCTCCTCTCCCAGCTTACCTATATTTATCAGACCTGGTACCCCCTGCCCCACTTCAGTAATATGATTTTGTTAGAGCAGTGTTCAAGTTTATACTATTATGACCTTGTAAATAATATTCATAAACTGCAATATGATTTCTTGGGTAAAGTTTTATTTTTCTTGATGTTATTAATTGCTTTTTTGTTCAAATGCTTCTTTTTCTTTTTTTTTTTTTTTAACGTTTTTTATTTTATTTTTGGGACAGAGAGAGACAGAGCATGAACGGGGGAGGGGCAGAGAGAGAGGGAGACACAGAATCGGAAACAGGCTCCAGGCTCCGAGCCATCAGCCCAGAGCCCGACGCGGGGCTCGAACTCACGGACCGCGAGATCGTGACCTGGCTGAAGTCGGACGCTTAACCGACTGCGCCACCCAGGCGCCCCTTCTTTTTCTTTTTAAAATGCTTACTTTTCTGGGCACCTGGGTGGCTCAGTCAGTTAAGTGTCCAACTTCAGTTCAGATCATGGTCTCTTGGTTCATGTGTTCAAAGTTCCTTCTCTCTTGGTTCATGTGTTTGAGCTTCCTTCCAGGAAGGAAGCACTGTCAGTGTGGAGCCTGCTTGGGGGGTCTCCCTCCTTCCCTCTCTCTCTTTCTGCCTTTCCCCCACTTGCTCTCTCTCTCTCTCTCTCTCTCAAAATAAATAAATAAACTTTTAAAAAATGCTTATATTTCTATGTGTTCCTCCTTTATCTCCAAACTGCCCAACTATGTAAATTTCTCCTGTCCTTTCAAGCCCAGCAGGCACTTTATCATTTCATCTTGACAGTATTGCTCCTTCAGTCTTAACTGTTCTAATCTAAGTTAGTTGCTTTCCAGGCCCATCATCCTGTAGTTTACCACAGCCTTTTTCTGGTGTTGGGTCCTGGGCTCTCTGGATCCCATGACTTCCTTTCTTTGTGCATGTGCCTGTTTGGTTTTGTTGTTGTTGTTTGTTTGTCTAGTAGATTTTATAGTAGTATCAATAGCATTCAGGCAAAAATTATTAAATTTATATATAATCATCTTCAAGAGGATCCTTGTGGTTTCTACTATACTTATGCTTCCCACTTTGTTTCTGATCAGCTTCTAAGAAGTTGAGACTGAGCTAGCTGAATTCCAGGAAGGCAGCAGAAAATTAAAGGCAGAGTTGTGAGCACAATTAGTTCAGGCTAAACAAAGAAATAGAGACTTGCAAGCTGATAACAAGACTGAAACATGCAGTGGAAGCATTAAAGGCAATTGTGGCAATAGATGCTGATGCCTAATGTGCTAGGTTTAGTAAGATGAGAAATATATTTTTTCAGGTGGAACTTAAGAGCAGTAGGCAACAAAAAAAATAAAAGCAAGTTTCAAGAGAATTTTTGAAATAAAATGTTCTCTTCTACTGAACCATGTAAAGGTGGCTTAGAGTTAAGAAGTTCACTCAGAAATTTCATAGCTGTCAGCTTTCTAGCCTAATGTTCCTAGCTATAATATTGTAGTTCCTATAATTTTCAAAGACTGTCAGATAGATTGGTTCATTCTACAGTACTTTAAAATTATATATATGACATATGCAGTTATTTCATTATCGTTCATTGTCCCTTCAGTTTTGGAGTCTAATTTGGGTTAACAATTAGCTTTAAAAAGGAGTTTTCAGTAGTACAAAGATTAACCCTTTTTGTTGCTCTTTACTACCTGCCTTAGCCAAATGCTTGGGGGTGTTTTTGCATCTGGGGAGTGAATGGGTTTGGGGAACGTGGTGGGAGAGTTCAGGTAAGGGATAAGGAATTTGGACTCTTAGTGGTGGTTTACACTGGGCTTAACCTGGGCTACATTCACCCTGAGAACCAGAGATTCTCTCACCAAGTTCATAATATTTGAGGCAAAGTTTTCCTTATTTGACTTCTCTTCAGAGAGAGACTTCCTTTCATTTTGATGGAGTAAATCCTCTATTATTTTCTGAGGAAATGCATATTTTGAGGCCTTGCATGTTGGAATATATTTTTATTCTATCCAGATAGTTATTTGGACATTTGGCCTTAAATTTTTTCCTTTTTCAGAGAGAGAGAGGGAGAGAGAGTGCACACATGTGTGTAAGCAGGGAAGGAGCAGAAAGAGAAAGAGAGAGAATCTGAAGCAGGCTTTGTGCTGACAACATGGCTCAAACTCACAAACCGCAAGATCATGACCTGAACTGAAATCAAGAGTTCCACACCCAACAGGCTGAGTCACCCAACTGTCCCTGGCCTTAGAATTCTTGACTGAAATAATTTTCCCCTCAAA